ATGTGTGTGTGTGGGTGGGTGGGTGTGTATATATATATATATGTGTGTGTGTGTGTGTGTGTGTGTGTGTGTGTGTGTGTGTGTGTGTGTCGTGTCGTGCGTGTCGTGTCGTGTCGTGTCGTGTCGTGTGTGTGTGTGTGTGTGTGTGTGTGTGTGTGTGTGTGTGTGTGTGTGTGTGTGTGTGTGTGTGTGTGTGAGTGAGTGTATGTATATATATATATAAACAAAGTCAAGGTATAGAATAATATACTTTGTTTTTATCTACACGGGTGTTCGTGTGTGACTTTACTTCTATATATATATATATATTCAAGAGCATATAAAGAAGGCCTTTCATATAAAGAAGTCTTCTTTATATGCTTTTGATATAATATATTAAAAGCTAATAAATACCCGTTATTAGCTGGGTCTAAGGGGTATAAATACCCCTTATTAGGTGTTTCTTAGCTTTTGATTATATATAACTACGCTTGATACATAACTACGCCCACTTCTTATGAGATTCTCACAGAACACAAAAATCGCAATATTTCACGTCCTTGAACCCTGACGAGACGTTGGCGATGCTGCTACTGTTGATGCTACTACTACTGCTGCTGCTGCTGCTGCTGTAGCTCTAGTACTATAGCTCGCGTACAGTTGCCGCAAGCTATAGTACTGGCTATTAGCCTGCGGCAACTGTACGAGGGTTATAGTACTAAGAGCTACTACTACTGCTGCTGCTGCTACTACTGCTGCTGCTGCTGCGGCGACGGTGGCGACGGTGGCCGCGGTGCGTTCATTCACCTCTCACACGCAACGTCATCAATATGTGCGCTGTTCTCAATCACATGAACCCGACGAACGGACGACCTTGTTTGTTATCACGAACCAACTGGTTGCGGCAATTTATTCCACTGTGGTCGTAGCGCAGGTCAATGGTCAGATTTAGATCTTCCGCTGTCCCGCGAAGAACGGCCATTCAAACCACGACACGATCAACCTGTTTTATTGTTGCGGCCGGGCGTCGGTCCCGTGGAAACAACCGTGAATAGGAAATCCTTCAGCGATGCCTATCTCATTATACACGTTATGATCGCGCTTGTAAAAGCTTGTGGACAAAAAGTCATCGAGTGGATTTCTAGCTGGGCGATATCGCAAGCGAAACGCGTGTTTTTTGTGCGCGAGAGCAAAGTACACGTTGAAGAAAACACAAGCACTCACATACACGAACAGCGTGAACTTGTTAGCATAAATAATACATTTATGTAAATGTTTATTTAACAAAAAGTTTAATTAATATTACTGGTTTTCCACTTGTCTTTTTACCGGGGGTATAATACAACATGTACCCCGACGTTGCTGTCTTCAGAGCAGTAGTTAACTATATATGACAATGATATATGGAATTGTCAACGAGCACAGTAACAGCAGGTACTGAGAACGAAACACGGAGTTGAGTATGGCAGATAGTTAGTGACAGTTTACTTAATTCTACGGACGATTCGTTAACATACGTAGTAATGATGGAAAACGTTATGTGACTTTATTTACTACACATTAACATCGTCAATATGGCCGCTTCGGGCGGATGCGTGACCTTTCTCGATGGTCCATATATGTTTTATGTCGGTGGTACATACATAATTATGTATATAGCTCCTCACGTTAATAAAGTTCATTGTTAAGGTGACAACGCTCTCTTGTTTTTGAGGATTTCGTTCTGTATTATGCTGTACATAGCGATACTGACAATATGCGACGGGATATACTCGGCATGCGTGAGAATCTGTCAAGGTAAAACATCCTGCTAATGTTACTTGTTTACTGTGTGTTACCGTGAGTGTGTCAATCCTTATTGCTACGAAGTTATCCGAGCACTAGACAGAAATGTAGAAATATAAAGCTAGAAGCGCACATGCATGCTATCATCACATCATGAACCGTATTGCGAGACCTGCCGCGTCCGGTGACAGATAATAATAAGGTAGTACATTGCAACAATCGCAGACGAATGCTTTACGCACGTAGATCTCTGTGATTCAAGTTGATTTACGTGATATGCTTACTCTCCGTGCAAGTATTGCACTAACCGTCAATATAATAATCATATCGGCTCGCACATAACGATAGACTAATGCAACATGCACCACCACCACACCCTCTCTCTCGGTGATATCACCGATCGTATAACCGTCTGACATTTATCCTGATCTGAACTTTAAATATAGCTTGACACCGGTGTAAAAAATAAAACGACCTTTAACGATTGAGTTTCCTTGTGAACAGCGAGCGTCTATAGCGATGCCTCGTAAAGGTCACCCTTAACGATGACTTGTTAACGACGATGTTTAACCGCGTCCTTTGACGACAATCTTTCATGAGTAGCGCTGCTAACCGCCTCACTGTGTGAGTTAACTGAATGAAGTGTTGAGAAGTACAAGTACACGGCTAGTTGTTCACGGGCTAGCACTGACGAGATTGTAAACCATGGCATCTCCATCTGCACGAGCGTTCTCGTAATTAACCCGTGGATTGCACAGAGCTAATAACCAAGTGTCTACGATCGGGGCAATGTGTTCTCGTTCGTATTTCTATTAGGTCACATGCGTTTCTTTGTAAGTCGGTCGCGCTTCCGCGTTAACGCGTGTTGTCGTTACTGTGCCAGAGTCGTGTCGGCGACTATCGCTCTGTTTGTTTCTAACATTCCTGTCGTGAGTCCGCGTGACACACATCGCCACCCTGCGGGGCTCATCTGTTTCAGGGTTGCCGCTCAAGCCCTCGTTTTAATTCCAATGTTTTTATCAATTAAAACGCGTTTACATTGAATTAAATCGTAATGGCGTGTCCGCGTAACAACCCTTATTGCGTCAAGAATGCTAACGGTTGGTTGCCAACAAGAAAAGTCACATTGTAGACTTGTCATCCAAAGTCATCACTCAGCAGGCCATCGTTACTCTAGTCTCTACTCATATCGCGTAGAGGATAGTTTGCAAGTCCGTGTAGAAAAAAGGCACTGCGGTCATTTCCCATCCACTCGATGGTGCATATTGCTCTGGATGTGACGATGGAAAGAGATACGGTCGCCCTGCCTCTCACCACATATGCCACACCGCCAAGGATCCTCTCCCTCGAAATGCAGCCGTGTGTGATTTATGTACATGATGTAGTGTTTGAAGAGAACCTGGCACGGCTTACACTCGTAATACTCGTTCTGACTGAGCGGCGGAACGACCGTGATGGCGGTCTCCCGCACCGCGGCGCTAGCGTCGCCGCTGCTGCTGCGATCGCCGCCGTGTTCGAGTCTCGCGGTTCGAACTCCTTCATCACTGGTCGCACAGATGGTGCCATCATCACCTGACGTCATCGCCGTATTAGGCGGGTATGACCGCGTTGCTGTATGTCCGGGATCGGTTCCGGGTACTGCACCCCGTGCATCGTGCGCCACCTCCTCCGCTGCCGTAGTCGTCATCAACAGATGTGAAATATTAACATCCTGCGACAGGGAGGTTACGCCTACCATGCTTTCATCCGCGCTCGCAAACTGTGCCGTAGAGGACAACCCTCCTGCTGCTAACTCTTCGTTACTTTGTTGTGCGGCAGTACTAACGGATAGCGACGGAATCTCGGTAGACACGCCCATCGCTCGCAACACGCTCGCGATGTCTGTCGCGTT